GAATGCACCAAATCAAGTGCAAGATCAATGTAAGAGGTGAACAGAATGTGGCAATGTCTAGGCAATGTGGCACAAAATGAAATCTTGGTCAAGAGTACATGCCAAGGTTGGTAACACAAGTAAGCAGCAGACAAACAGGCAGGGGTAGTCCAGGGGCAGGTCAGATGAAAGTAGGGTCAATAACTGAATCAAACAGGATTCATGATCAAGGATAACAGAGACACAAGCTAAAAGTAATGATCTCAGCAGGTCTTAGGTTTAAATAGTCCACTAGGTGCCAGAATCTGTGGTGAATGTGCCCACGAGCACACTGTTGAGCAGACAAGCTTGCACATTTTTGCACGCTTAATTAGGCTTCCATGCCTGAAAACACATGCAAGTTTATGTACATAAAAATGAGCATGATCTCTCTGATAGCTGAAAAGAGGTTCCTAAAAATACCCAACACAGCTAGGCACAGTCACTGACATCTATGGTAGGCTAGGAGTCGAATCTGTCAAATTAAAAATGCTGATTTTCTGGATTGATAGGCAAGGGGGTGGGCTCTGTCATGGGGAACATGTACAAATGTTTTAAAAAATCCGCTCAGCCTGGAGAAGTAATTTTTTTTAATGCTTACACTGAACCTAATGATGTTAAAATAAAAAAAGCACACAGACCCCTCCAAGGGTCTGCTATGCTTTTTGACAAGCCTTTAGAAGGGTTTGTGTGTTTTTTTTTTCTTTTTTAAAGAAACTGGCAATGAAATGTAATTTAAACTATACTTTTTTCTTTTTAAATGTAAGTTTGCTATAGAACAAAAATGAAAAAAAAAAAATGGAGTTGTAACCAGAATACATACCAGACTATCTGAGTCTCGTATGATATTTAGAGTGGTAACTCACACAAAAAAACACAAACAAATGTGTGCGGTCCTCCTCCTAAAAACCTATACCAGACACTTAGTCCAAGCATGTAGCCTTCAAGGACAGCAATGGGGGGAGGTTGAATGAGCACTGACCCCACCCCGAACCTTACCAGGCCAGATGCTTCTGGGAGAAACTGCTTGACCCTCTAATTGAGACTTCATAAATTTAAGTTAATTTGGCTATTTTAAATATTTTTTGAAATAGCCAATTTGACAAAACACTTTCTTAGAAATAAAAAATGCCTTACAGAAATACAAATCACAGGATACTTTATTTTCCCATTAATTCTATTAGACTAGTGTGACTTTGAAAACTTTTAATGTGGAGTAATAATTACAATAATATATGTGGTGAAATAGAAGGGTTTAATCAGCACAGAAAATATAAAAGCAAAAAGGACCAATGCACAGAAATACATCCATTTCCTTGCTCAATGCAGAAATAGTATGCAATATAAATATGCTTTCTTTTTTAACTTGTTCCTTAGAAGTGTATCTTTCTTCCTCTAAATTCTCTGAATTTCCCTAAAACATTTTAATGAACTACTTAATTATGTACAGTCTGCAGATTGATAAGCTCAATAAATATTTTTTCCAAAACTCATTAATGTACAAGCACAAGTGAATTTTTGTTGCTCAAACTAAGAAAAAGATGCTTAAATATAAGAAAGGCTAGTGGGTTGCTTGCACTCTACTTTGTCTATTCATAAAATACTTCATATAAATATCACAAGATGCATGACATTCTGTGAATGGACAAGAGGAGGAGCAGATGAACATCAGGATCTCTCCCTGTCCTTTCACAAAACACTTTGCATTCTGTGAAAAGAATATAAGATATGTTCTGAACAGATAAGGTGGAGTGTGAGTATAACTATCTTTCACTGTATGTGCTAGGAGTCTCGGCACCAGCAGTTCAGCACTTACTGTACTGTTGGGAATGAATGAATGAAACTAAGAAAAAGTATTTAAGACAAAGCATTTTAGTTAATTTCTTAGTACATAGCAACCTTGTATTTTGTGCTAAAGTTCAGTTTTAGGTAGGAAAAATACTGTTTTTTTACTGTTTTTGTTGTTTAAGTCCTATGAGCTGACAATTTGTTTCCAGATTTAGTGCATTGAAAGTTGTACTTCAGGCCTAAAATAGATGTTTGTTTCATGAAATACATCGCTGTTGTTGTCCTAGTTACATTTTCTAAACCCAGTGTACTAAAGCTGAACATAGTTAGGAAAATATTTATTTTTTCTGATCTAAGAGTAGTGGTGTTTGCTGGTTCACATTTTAGACTTAGGTGCTAACTATCTGCACTTACAGTGAGTGTCCAAATGCAGACCTTAAAAAAAAAAATGAATAGAATGTATTTATATATTCTATTTAGAAAAAAAATAAAGGTCTGAATTGTCAGCTGATTTATTTGTCTCCTGTTATCGATGTATTTTTATTTCTTCATTTGTTTTTATAGCTTACATTTTCATAGTTGATGTAATAGTTTTGCATAATCCTGTCAATGAGAAATTATTCATTTTAAAGCAATAACCTCATACAGATTGTATATACACAAATAAATGGTTCTGGCATAAAGAGCAAGATGAGTTAGCCTTTTCAGTAAGAACTTCCCTGAAGAGTCACATTTATTTGTTAAGATATTTTCTTACTACTTGGCCTTGGTGAGTAGACTGACCTTTCCACTGCAGAGTTCAAAGAATCAAGTAACTCTCTGATGCCATTTCAGCAAGGAGGGTTAAGGTCTATTGCATCTGACAAAAATAGATGGGCTGACAACTAAGAGTAACCCTCAAGTCAAAAGTCAAAGGAAAAAATATAGAAATGCAGTCCCTTATTTAGAAAGCAAGACAAAGTAAAGGGAATGAGAAATTACTTTAAGAAAGCAAACAAGATTAGATCTTTTGCTGAAAGAATGGCAAACACCCAAATCTATCTCAAGGGACCTACAATGAATCAGATCTAATCTAAGAGAGACCGCAATGAAGGAAGAAAAGATCTACAATGCTGTGGTAATGGCTCTGTATTGGATGTGTCTGATGCTTTGAAATTCTGACATTACATAACTGCTGTTCAGGCAAAGGAATCTTTGAAAATATTACAAAGGAAATGGGTTGTTCCCTTTTATTTTGGATTAACCGTGTATCAAACAACATGCTATTTAACATACCTACTATGAGATATAGCTTATTAAATTTTAGTTTTTTAACATGGATAAGTACAGTAACTGAACTGATAGTAACATTTTAAATGTCACTTAAATACAACCACATATGAAAAATATCTATATATAATAGCTATTAGATTTTAAAGAGACTCTGTCAACTATGCGTTTTAAAAAAAAAAACTCTCCGTGAGATTATATGTGTCTTTATGCATTTTATTCACCTGTAAAAGCCCTCCTTGTGTACACATCCAAAAGCTCTGAGACTGCTGCTGGACACTGTTATTTTGGATGTGATGTCAGAAGCCCCATTAGTCTCAGACTCACCCAAGAGGAAGTCTATAGTATTCCCCTTTGCTACTCCCCTTGCAGCTACATCAAAGGTTATCAGAAGAGGAGAGAGATATGACATGCAACTGTGCTAGAAAAATTACTCTTCCTGGAGGAGTCAAACTTTCTAGCACATTCAAAGGCACATTGCAAGTAAAAAATAATGTATGAAAAATAAAACATAGTAAGCATTTAAAATAACTGCATTTACATGCATTTTTGGTGACAGGTAAGGATGAGCTTTTGGTTCAGGTTAAGTACAGGTTAGACCACTAGCTATGAATAAGGTATGTTTATTAGACGGAAACACCCTTTGCCAACATAGCAACCGATGACTAATGCTCGTCCAGGCTTCTGAACTTAGGCCGGGAGGCTTAGAATGGCCAATAATGGGTGCTTTGTAATGAGGGCCCTCATTATAAAAGGTAAGGTTGCCAGCAGCCATATTGTAAAGTGAATAGATCATATACTATATTGACAAGTATTGGGATATCTGCCTTTACACACACATGAACTTTAACGGCATCCCAGTCTTAGTTCGTTGGGCTCAATATCGAGTTTGCCCACCCTTTGCAGCTATAACAGCTCAACTCTTCTGTGAAGGCTGTCCACAAGGTTTAGAAGTGTGTTTATGTGAATCTTTGACTATTCTTCCAGAAGCGCATTTGTGAGGCCAGGCACTGATGTCACACAAGCAGGCCTGACAGAGAAGCGCGATTCGTCACTCCAGAAAACATGTCGCCACTTCTCTAGAGTCCAGTGGCGGCATGCTTTACCCCACTGCATCTGACATTTTGCATTGCACTTGGTGATGTAAGGCTTGGATGCAGCTGCTCGGCCATGGAAACCCAATCCATGAAGTTCTCTATGCACTGTTGTTGTGTTAATCTGAAGGCCACACACGAAGTTTGGAGGTCTTTAGTTATTGACTCTGCAGACAGTTAGCGACTTCTGCGCACTGTGCGCTTCAGTATGTGCTGACCCCGCTCTGTTATTTTATCTGGCCTATCACTTTGTGGCTGAGTTGCTGTTGTTCCCAGTTGCTTCCACTTTGTTTATTACCACTAACAGCTGACAATGGAATATTTAGTAGCAAGGAAATGGCACGTATGGACTTATTGCACAGGTGGCAACCTATCATGGTAAAATTTACTGAGCTCCTGAGAGCGACCCATTCTTTCACAAATGTTTGTAGAAGCAGTCTGCATGCCTAAGTGCTTGATTTTATACACCTGTGGCCATTGAGGTGATTGGAACACCTGAATCCAATGATTAAGAGCAGCACAGTGGCTAAATGGTTATCACTTCCGCCTGGCAGTACTAGGGTCGTTGGTTCAAATCCCAACCATGGCACCACCTGCCTGGAGTTTGCATGTTCTCCCTGTGCCTGCGTGGGTTTCCTCCAGGTACTCCGATTTCCTTCCACACTCCAAAGTCATGCTGGTTGGTGAACTGGATCCTGTCTTAAGTGGCCCTAGTATGTGTATGTATGAATGTGACTTAAATTGTATGCCCCTTGAGGGTTAGGGACTGATGTGAATGTACAATATATATGTAAAGCGCTGTGTAAATTGACAGCGCTATATAAATACCTGAAATAAAATAAATAAATTAAGAGGGGTGTTCCAATTGCTTTTGGCAATATAGTGTGTATCCAGCTCCCTGCTATGGGGCTGTGACATTCCTTATCCTGTTCCCTCATTATTGTGCTATATATGGAAATATAAATTAATATTAAAACAATTACTTACTGTGCATGGCAATATGATAAAATGGCATGGCAATTTTAGTAAAATATAATAGATGGGGTCAGGGGCAGACTGACAACTCATAGGGCCCCCGGGCAATAGGTGATCATGGGTCCCTTGTGTCCTTGCCCAAACTCAAAAAAGCCTATGAAAAAGGTACCAGGGGCATCTCATGGGGCCCCTACTGACCCCAGGCCCTCGGGCAGCGCTGAGTTTCCAAATGGTCAGTCCGCCCCTGGATGGGGTTGCAACGAATAAAAATATAAAATCCTGTCAAGACTCAAAACTCTATGCTCATGTGAAATGGTGAAAAACTAAGGTAACTAAAATTATTTATAGGTGACACTTTAAAAGCCTTTACAAGTTATCAGTTTAGAGTTAACCATGAATTATTATCCTAGAAATATTTCTCTCATTCCGATGTTCACTGCGATACCTCACATGTGTGGCGCAGTCAGTTTTTACATGCACATGCAGGACCTCTGTTTGAGTTTCCATCTACTTATTTATTATTTTTGTTTATTTTAGTACAATTTAGTGTTTTCACACCTTTTATTAAATTTTCATTTAACTTCATACCTATTAAATCCCCTATGTGGCTGCAGACATGAGCTGGTTTTAACCACTTCATGTCAAGGACATTTTAAAATGTCCTAAGGATATGAAGTAGTTAAAGCAGTATTTAAACCCCAAATCAAAAATGTGTTATATTGCAGCTTACCAAACATTAGAGGTGGTGGCTGCATCAGTTTTGTTTCTTTCGCTTTTTACCTGTTTTATTCTGGCCAGTAAAATACCACCTGTATTAGTGAGACACAACAGTGGGGGAATGAGCACAGGACACAGCAGACAGCAGCATTGTCCGTCTGGGAGGGAGGGTATTATTAAATGTGTTATAAAATATAGATACACTTACAAACTGAATCCAAACTCCAGCTCACACTTTACAATCAGTTACAGCAAACAGTTTTTTTTTCTCCATTTGGGGTAAAGTCTTTGCATGATTAAATAAAAGCTGATCATTTAATCACCCCTGTCACTGTTACTGCTTTAAGCACTTTAAGACTGTCCCAAGCAGATATACTGCGGCAGGGTGGCCGTACTGTGCTTGATTATATACCTAGTACATCATCCGTGCGTTCTGCAGGGGGCTTGTGCATATGTGCCCACCGCTCCAGCTGTGCTGTGATTCCGCACAGCATAAACTGATCAATGGGTCCCAGCCAATTATTATTATTATTATACAGTATTTATAAAGCGCCAATAGTTCACTCAGCGCTGTACATTACAAAGGGGGACAGAACATGTGACAGAACAATACCAATACAATGCAAAACATGAGGGGATTGAGGGCCCTGCTCTTTCGAGCTTACAATCTAGGAGGGAGGGGATGGTGGCACAGGAGGAGATAACTGTGGGGGATGGAGTGGTAGGAAGAGTGGAGGGGGTCGGCAAGTTAGCAGGGGGTGGGGTAGGCTTCCCTGAAGAGATGGGTTTTCAGGGTGTGCCTAAAGGAGAGGAGACTAGGTGATAATCTGATAGGTTGGGGCAGGGAGTTCCAGAGGATGGGTGACACCCTGGAGAAGTCCTGGAGCCAATGATTGATAGCTGGACAATAGTCAGCTAGAGTATAAGCTGCTCATCCTAAAACTATATGATTAGAAAAAAGAATACCTCCTTTGGACTTTAATGCACCTTGAATGCACCACACATATATTAATATAAAAAAGTAATTTTTTGAGCAAAACAAAAACTGTTTAAAATCATCACATACTGTATATTGTAAAACCCCTATAGTAGCTCTGACAGCATTATTAGAGATAATCCCCCATGCGAGAGCAAATATCATACAAATACATAGAAAGGAACCAACGTATTGTGATCATTTCAATTCAAGATCTTCTTCAGGGGGCAAAAAAGAGGGAATATTTCTAGATAAATACACAATAAATTAATATATCACATACAATGAATGACACATATTTCATTATAGTCAATAACAACAGAGTATTTCCTAATCTCATACTTACAAAGCAATAGCTTGGAAGACACGTGCCTATCTGAACATCTTAAAAGCGATAATGTCCCTCATGATGGACATTATCATTTTTAAGAAATTCTGACAGGCACGTGTTTTCCAAGCTATTGCTTTGTAAATATGAGATTAGGATATACACTGTTGTTATTGACTATAATGAAATATGTGTCATTCATTGTATGTGATATGATATTAATTGATGGTGTATTTCTATATTTCCTCCTACATGGGGGGTTGTCTAACAAGCCTGTCAGTGCCACTATAGGGGTTTTAGCATATATATGATGATTTTAAAGAATTTTTGTTTCGTTCAATAAAGTATATTTTTTTTGTTTTATTGTAGTTGTGGTATATTCAAGCTGCATTAAAGTCCCAAGGGGATATTCTTTCTTTTGAATGATTAATGCTTGGGACATGCTGATAGGTTTGCTGAATCACAGAACAGTGCCCACTGTTTATAAACAACACTGGGCACTGTACACAGAGAAGCGATCCTTGGTAGAAGGAAACAATGTGAAAAAGAAAATAAAATTGCTCAATTCCCCCATCAACACAGGCAATGTTGATGGAGAAATCCCTCCCAAGGAGCATTTGTTTACTGAAGTTGGGATGTTTCCCTGCCTCAGAATATAATGAGCAGTGCTTGTGGCTATAGCTACCAGTCATGATTGAATGAAAAAAAAACACAACACACTAGTTGTACTGAAGTTGATTGATAGATTTTCTTCAGTACAACCAGCCTGCCCAAGCATAGATTGTAATTTGTCTGGTTCCTGCTGAGCTGAAGGGCCCGAGAGCTTTTTGGGGCTGTCAAGGAGCATACATTTGGCATCTAATTTCCTGACTACCTATCATAATTCAGGAGGAGAAACACCCAAAAAATAAACACATATTGGAAAGCAAACAACCCAAGGTATTTTCTGAAAAGCCTAATGAGTCTTTTAAAAAAGTAATTTTTTGCCACAAGGTTTTGGAAAATGCAGGAAAGAAAATGAAAATGTATTTTTACACAAAGCTGTCAATTAATAGGATATTTTTTTAACATGCAGCATGGGGATATTTATATTTACATCTAAAAACACATTCTAATACTCCTCCCAAGTACAGTGATACAGTATATGTGGGAATTTTTCACAGCCTAGCCACTTAGAGAGGGACCCAAAATCCAAGGAGCACCTTCAGGCTTTCTAAGTTACGTATCTGATTTCCTTACTAGCTATTACAATTTTGGAGGCCCTGGAAAACCAGGACAGCAGTAACACCCACAAAATGACCATATTTTGGAAAGCAAACACCCCAGTCTTCTATGATTTATGGTGAGATTTTTGAAGACTTCATTTTTACCACAAGATTTTGGAAAATTCAGAATGAAAATGATTTTTTTTGCACTTTGCACAACATTGTCAATTTAATAAGATATTTTTCCATACAGCATTGGCATACTCAGAATTACACCACAAAACAAATTCTTATACTCCTGAATATGGAAATACCCTATATGTGAGACTTTTAAAATGTTTGAAATAATTACGTACTGGATATTGTATCTTATGTATTACACAATCAGCCACAAGCAGTATACTGTGATGATAACCTCTTTATGAGTGGTCAAGTAATAAAACTCAGTGTAGAATCACCCGTAGCAGCCCCTATTCTAAAGAACCCTAACCTACTGTTACAGAGCTGTCCCTATGAATACCATGTTCACTGATCAGGAAGTACAGGAGGCTAAAGAAAGAAAGAATAAAATAGTTCATGTGGTTCCAGGAGTGCAGTTATCACAAGGGATGGCTAGAATAGTGCCTCACAAGAGCATAGTCAGTTATATGTGCAGACGGGTCAGCTCAGACATTATGCAGAGACATTGTCAGCAAATAGGTAAAGGATTGGTCCAGGCAGCAGGCAGAGAGATGGTCAATATACAGGCCAGGGTTAGTACAGGTGGCAGGCAGAGGCCAACACTGCGCTGGTGTGGGGGTGATCAGGAACACAACCTCTGTCTGCACTGGTCTGGTGAAAGTGGGACAGGTGTGGTGGCAATCAGGAAAATGTTTTTAGACTGCACTGGTCTGGTGTGGTGGGAATCATGAACATTTGTGCTGGCTACACTGGTCTAGTGACACTGTGACTGGTGTGATGGTGATTAAAGACACCAACTGGTTGCACTATTAGGGCTCATTAACACATGGGGTTGGGTGGTGGTAAAACCTAACAGTTGGGCCATAGTTTTACTGTCCCCCAGCTGTTAGTGGTTAAAGTAGGTAGGGATTGAAGCAGGTAATAGGAAGATGATACATGCCTTCTCACTACCTGTCAAATGTTCTCTGAAGAGCAATCTGAACACAGATTGCTCTTCAGAGAGCACCACACATGTGAACAAGGCCTTATGGTATGATGGTGATTAGGGACACTGTGACTGGTAGAGCGATGATGACACTGTGACTGCATGTACTGGTCTGGTGACACTGTACTGCTGTGACAGTGATCAAAGATAGTGGTTGGTGGCACTGACATATTGTGATATCTGAGCAGAAAACCATTGTACATGATCACCATCACAGCAATATAATGTCACCATAGTGACACTGTACTCTTCTTGTGACAGTATGTATTTTTTTTTCTGTGCAGCACTTCTGAGCCAGTGCCATGGAGCATGCACCAGACTGCACCAGCTCAACAACAGTGATGGGCCGAACACCCCTGTGTTCGGTTCATAGTCGAACATTCTAACCTAATGCACATTTGACAGTGAACTTCAAACTCAATGCAAGTCTATGGGACTTGAAAAATTCAAAGGTGCCCATTTTGAAGGTTTATATGTAAGTTATTGGGCATAAAAGGGGTATGGGGACTCGGGTACTGCCCTCAGGGACATGAATCAGTGAAAAAAAAATTCAAAAAGTACCATTTTAAAGGGGCAGTCAT